GTAAGGAAATATCTGTACAAAGGCTGTGACAGATATATGAGCTTCCGCGAAAGGTGAATGCGGTGACTTTTGGCCCACAGCTGTTATTTTTAAGGCCTAAGGAAAGGCTTCTTTTGAAGGTTTTATAAGTAATTGACCTTAGCTTTCTCTGAATAAATTTATAAACAGAAAAATAACTTTAAAAATTCCTCTGAATACTTGCCAAAAGAAAGAACCTATAACATTTATCGAATGAAATTTTAGTTTTTTAAAGGTAAGCCTTTTTTAAAACATTTAATTTATTAACCTGTTCACTATATACTTTATTAATTATATAGAAATTGCTTAAGGCATTCATTCACAGTTTTTTAATCATCTCTCCCACCACCCCACCGCTCAATTTATTATCTCGAATTTAATTTGGAGTCGCGGTATCGCCCACCGTCAGCGCTGCGGCAAAAATGCCAATGCCAAAAAAGTCGCTAAATCATTTCTTAATTGCTCAATTTGAAAACAAATGCGACCATTTAATTTAATTGTGTGGACTGTTAATTGAGTCGTAGTCGCCGATGCACGAATGCAGGCCCACAAGCCCCGGCCACGCCCCTTCCCAAAGCCCCTCCTGTTCGATATACGTTGTTAGATAATGCCCAGGAAAACTTGTTGTGAGCCAGCCTGCTCTGTTTCATTTTCGGCATTTTTGGCCAGGCAATTAAATCCCAAAAAATACAAAAAACGAGGCACACACACACACACAAGCTTTTTGGAAATGAAAACTGCGACAGTTTTCGGGGCTCAAATGCTCAGCTGCATTGCCTGTGGGCCGTCGATTTTAATGATTTACAGCAGTAGCTGCATTAGGGGTACACAGGGGGAAAAATTATGGAGGTTTCTAGAGGATATATAAAATGGAAGATTTTTAAGAATATTTTTAAGTTTATTTTGGTTGAAGATACTTTGAAATAAAGTTTATAATCTACTTAAAAAAGCTCAGGAAATGTTAAGAAAAATATTTAAAAAATGGCTTTCTTTGGGTTTTAACAGCTTAATCAATAAAATATTTATTAACGATTTTTATTGGAATAAATAGTTAATTTTTTAGATTATTTTAAAGTTTATTTATGTTAAAGACACTAAAATATAGGCTATAATCACCTTAAAAAATCGCAGGAAAAGCTAAAAAAAATATTTAAAAAATTGTTCTTATTGGGTTTGAAAAGCTTAATTCATATAATATTTTAGTAGATTTTTAATTGAATAAAAATCAATATTTTTAGTTACCAAAATACCTAAAGATACACTCAATGTCTTAGCAACACCCTAAAAAATTAATATTTTTCAATACAGATTTTGTTCTCTGTACTCCCCGACTTAACTAGCTCTCCCACCGCCTTCGAGCAGGTGGGTTAGCGATGTCGAAATTTGCATATGGTATTATGCATTATGCGATAATGTGCAATAAATGTCGTGGAATCGGAATTATGTCGCTCTAGCTTTCGGCATTTGAGATACAAGCCTGTTAACTTGGCCGATAGTGGAAAGCGGAGCATTGGGAGCCATAAATCTTGAGAGCACTTGGTGGAGCAGGCACAAGGCATCATCAATCATGCGGCATGCAGATCGATTATTACAATTGCTGACAGACGGACACAGACAGTGAGTCGGTGGCGGCGGCGGTGGCGGTCGGTTGCATCTGCGGGCCCTCATTTGTATCTGATGGATGTATCTGCAAGCCTCCTGCTGCAATTCCGCGGAAAAGCCCAGCGCACAGCTGCAGAGAGACTCCTCTGCTCGTGTCAAGTCAAGTAAAAGTTCCAGGAAAACCCAAATCCACTGGCCATGTTCTTCTTCTGTGCCCCAAAAAAAAAAACAAAAAGTGAGGCATTACAGCAACTTTTGCCTTTGCCATTGTCCGGCACGAAATTATTTTAATGAGTTGCCAATTAGGACTGAGTATATGGGCTCCACTGAAATAGATCAGTCAGCGAAAGAGGCTGCTAATAAATACCTGCAAGTACCTGTGCCCGATTGCGTACAGCGGTGAGCAGTGCGCACTGAACAGGTGTTCACTTCCAGCGAGTGGCATAAATACGATACGAGTGGCTGGTATAAAAGGGTCACCCTCTTTGAGGTCTTGGCTATTTACGAGTCTTTTGGGGAATTGCCTTTGGATCAGGCAATCCTGACATCAGCATCCGACAGCCAACAAGCAGGCAGGAGAGGCAGTCCTTGGTCCAGAAATCAGTAGGGGAGAGCCTCGGGCTGGAATGCAGATGCTGCCAGCGATTGGCATTGAAAAATATATATGTAAATATTCAAGGGTGACAAGGATTATGCCAAGATAATTATTAAAACTTAAAGAGAACTTAATTTTAAATAATTAAAAAAATAAATATAGGTTAAGTAACAAAGAGTTCACTAGGTTTCGTTTTATTATTTTATAAAAAATTCTAAAACCTTTGGAAATATATTTAATTACAAATGTAAAAATATCTAAAAATTTTCCATTAATAAAAACCCTTAAGAATACTTTACAGAAACTACAGTAATTTGTTTATTTATTTAAACAAAGAAATATTTCTCTCTTCAACATTTATTTGAATTTGTTTATTATTTATTTCTCATAAAAACAATTTTATATTTAAAAAAAAAACCTATTCTTATTTAATAAAAATATTTTAAAATAAAAAGAAACTCAAATTGCTGTTTTTAAATATTTTTAAAATAATAATAAACTCAAATTGCTGTTTTTAAAATATTTTCAAATTATAATTATTAATTTTATTTATTAATTTAAAATCTAAAACAAAACAGAATTGATACATTTAAGTAAAGAAATATTTCTTATTCAATTCCCTATTTTAAAAATATTTTAATATAATAAGAAACTCAATTTTCTTTTTTTAAACATTTTCAAATTACAAAGTTATTAATTTTAAATGCAAAACAAACAGAAAACTCATGTGTAGCCCCCATCAAAGTGCTTTATTTCTGGCTTCTCTCCAAGCTCGTTACTCAATTAACAAGTGGAGCAAGCTCGTTATACTCATTTCATTTTTCTTTGGCTTTGTTTTTTTGCTTTTCTTTAACGTTTTCATAATTTCTTATATTTTTTTTTTGTTTCGCCTGTGTTTAACACTTTATGAGGCGCCGCTTATTAACGCGTTTCCTGCTGGCCACGCCCACATCCTCAATTCGGGCGAAAATTGCTTTTCACTCGCTTCCCATTCTGTTTGTTATTAATTACACAGTTTCCAAAGACCTTACGCACAGTTTCCAGTTTTCGAGTTCAGTTTTTTATCTTCTCTTCTCTTTTTTTTTGGCCAATTGAATTATAACGAAGCGAAGACAATGAAAGGAAGCGAAAAGGAAGAGAAGGGGGGTTTCCCCCGAAAAAAGATGCCGCGGGTAAGGGTAACATAATGGCGTTTGTTTTCATTATAGCACCGGGCAAGCGTTCACCGGGCATAGCATAAATATTTAAGCAACTGACAATGAGATAACAAACGATGAAATTTATAAGCGCGAAAACGGGGTCAAAGGCGAAGGAGGAGGCGCGAGCCTCCAGGAGTCAGGAGCCAGGAGCACAAGGCAAATGTTGATAGTCCATTCATCAGTTAGCAGCGGCTAAATTACGTTCATTTTGGCCATAAACCTCACTCCAGTTGTTGTTTTTAGGTCAAGAGGGGAAAGGAGAGAGAGAGTTACTGCGAAAATTCAAGATATAGCCCAAGGGTTCAAGGTGAAAAATGAAGTAAATAGGGTTCATGTACTTCCTTAGCTACCTGTTACATTTTTCTTATAAAATGCCAGAGGTGTTAACGGGAATTTAATTAAATTTCAAGTGTAAATAAAGAGAAAGATATTTAAAAAAAATATATAGTTAAAGGTTGGTGACTAAGAAGACAGCAAAATAAAGTTTAAGTTTGACTTTAGAAATACTTTTACCATTTAAACCCAAAATTACCTCAAAATAAATAGCAAATGGAGAGTATTATCATACCGACTTATGTACCTCTCCCATCACTCCCCTGTTTATTTCATCTTCAATTTAGCTGCGGTTTTTATCAAAAGGATATATAAAGTATATACCATAGCGTGGAAAGGCCAAAGGCTCTCTGTAATATTTATATGCGTGTTGATTTCTGTTTGCTGAATTTGACCTTTTTCTCTTACCCCTCTGGCCAGAAGAGATGGCCACTTTGAGATAGCGGTTGGGCCAGACTAGGAAAAAGGGTCAAAAACGCAGTAAGTGTTAAGAAAGAGGGGTTAGAAGAGAGCACAGGAAATACATAACTCCTCATTCACTACCAAAGCTCGCCTCATTAAACGGCGGCCCATAAATATTCTAAATCACCAGCGGAGGCGCAGCCTCAAGTTGTTAAGATAATAAAGTTTGTAATTAATTTTGCATCGTTAAATGCGCCGTAACTATCATACATATGTAAGTGAGTATTTAAGAGACGTAAATTTCGAATATATTTACTGTAAGTTTTGTATTTTCAAGAGGGATTTGAAGTAGCTTTCAGTTAAGGCTGAAGTCTTAATGACTTTACTCACGAATCAACGAGTGTAGCCCTTCCTTTTTTAGACAGAAACTAAACAGTTTTAAACTAAAATAATAAATAAAATTTAAGCTGTTTAAAATTCTTGAAAAGAAAAATAGCAGGAATATTCCAAGAATTATTTTCAATTAAAAACTAATTTATTTACTAATTAAAACCCACTTGAAACAGTTTCAAGAGACTTGTTTATGCTGCTTTGATGACCTGCCCTGCCCACTGTATCTCTTATTTATGAACTTATTTCATATACATATTTCATTCACCACTATCTATTCATATTCATAACTTTTTATGAATTCATCATGATTGCATAATCATAAAAGTATTACATCCACCGTTGATCATCTTGTTTTATTATGCCCATTACACACACATGCTATGCCCTCAGTTATTTATATATTTAAGAAACTGCTTACATTAACTATTATTTTTTGTGTGGTTTTCCTGTTTTTGCAGATACCGCCGGCGAACTTGGATGGGCATTCACCCTAATCATAGTTTCAATCATATCGGCTCTAATAGGTGCTATTGTAATGGTCATAGTTCTAAGATGTAGAAGGTGAGTGCAACAAAATGGCTTTAATTTATATTAAATATAGTTTAAAAAATATTAGAAAATAATTTTAGATGGATTTTTTAAGAAGGAAAGTAATGAAAAATATTTTTAAAATATAAATAATTATTTATTATTAATTAATAAGAGGGAAACCAAGGAAAAAGCTTTATTTTCCATAAAAACAATCAAGGATCTCATAATTTACAATTGAAACAAATTTAATTAATTTAATTTATGTAAAATATAGGTTAAAAAAATTAGAAAATATTTTTAGATGGATTTTTTTAAAAGGAAAGTAATAAACAAAATTTTTAAAATATATTTTCACCTTTTAAAAATAATGAATAGTATAAAAAACCAAGAGAAAACTTTATATATATATTTTCCCCCATAAAAACCAACAAGGATCTCATAATTTACAATTAAAAAAAAATATCCAAAGTAAACTTAATTCCTTTTGGGGATTTTTAAATTATTATCGGTGTCATGGGTCTTCATAAAAGGCAATTTCCATAATAATTTTTGGACATTTCTCAAACATGTTCAATTGCCGACAATAAATTTGAATCTCTCTCTCTGCCTTTTCCCCCAGAGAGAAGAGAGCTCATAAATTGACCATTCAAGATTAATTGGCCAAAAACAGGCGGCGAATAAATTAAAAAGGCAAATAAATGAAAATTACGAATAAACAGACACATTTTGGCATTTAGCTAGAAAAATGCGGCAATTAGTCATGTTAAAACACAGCTATAAGTACACACATATAAGAGTCTCTGGAGAGTAGTATAAAAAGAGGACATTCAACTCTTAACCCCTTGACGACCCCAGCGATCCGTCATGCAGCGGCGACATTTACAACGTCGAGATAAATTGAATTTTTCTTCTTTTTCAATTCTGTTTTGTTAATATTAATACAGCAACGCCAGTCTCGAATTCGCGCGAATATCTGAGCTGTGGGATCTGTGTAACTGTAAAGATTTACAATGCATTGCCCACACGGGCGGCGGCGGCACACCAGCAATTCAATTAAACGCCCACCAACCAAAAAAAATAAGTAAATAAAACCTCCTAAGTGAGTCAACGGCAAAGAGCTGAGAGCAGAATAATCGATGCCGAAAACAAAGGAACATGAAATTGCTTTATTACTTAATTGCTCTTTAAAAAAAAAATCAAAAAAGAAAAAGAAATACAAGCCGAAACAGCCGTTTTGCCACAGGCGTTCCTATATGGCCAAAATCGTAGTTGAAGTCTCTTTCAAAAGGCCACCGAGAGTGGGTCACATACTTGTATTGAATACAGAGAGAAAATTAAAGGGTTTAATTTGGGAGAAATAATTGTTTTATTAAAGAGAAAATGTGTTTAATACAGTTAAAGATTTTCTAAAAAATAATTATGGAAATGGTAGAGAAAATAGTTTGAAATAAATGGTAGAAATTTAGTGTTAGAAAGTCGCAAGTAGACTTAAAGATATTTTACTGTATTTTTTCTATCTCCGAATTCTTTGCTATTTTTACAATAAATAAATTTATGAATTCACCATATTTTAACAATTAAATTTTATACCTTTCCTTTGAACATTTTATTTTAAAAGAATTGTTTTTATTATCTATAATAAATGCTTAAAAATAAATGTCTAAAAAATCATCCTCGAAAGTTCGGGATATTGACAGCATTAGGTTTATTTAAAAAAATTTATTTTCTCATATTTTAATTATATTAAACAATGTTCTTAAAGTATTACACAATGCTCTTAAATATTCAAAGAATATAATTTATTTTACTAAAACATTTTATCTTGTAAAAATTGTGATTCAAGGTCTAAAATATAATATCAGTTTTAGAAACATTTTTACATAAGTTTTCTTTCATAAATATTTTTTATATATTAAAAATGTTTAATTACAATATTTAAAATACCGTAAAGTATTTAGATACAATATTTAATTTAATTTCCTTAAAATCCTTGAATCATTTAATTTTATTCTTGTCTATTTTGAATTTATTGAAATTTCACATATATTTTTTTTATTACAAAATATTCTTAAGAAATTATTAGAAATATTATTATTATTATTAGAAATATTATTTTAATATTAAAATGTTTGTAAGTATCTTAAATATTGCTTTTTGTTTAGAAATATTTTATTAAGTAAAATCCTTCCTATATAATTAATTTTTCCCAGTGTATCTAACCGTTTGAAGTACATTTAAATGGCCATTTGATCGCAAGATGACTTGTTAAGGGTGCGGGGGCGGTACAGAACAACACACGCGAGTGCCAAATTAACAGAAATTTTTGTCCGATTCGATTGGATTCCGATTCGAATTCGAATTTGAAGTTGGATTCGGGTTGCGCAGGCGCCGCCGCCGCAGCAGCAGCTTGTTTATTCCGTAACAGCCGTGGGCTTCCACTTTTTCTGATATTTTGAAGTGGAAACGCTGGCCACATGTCGCGTCCAATTAAATTGTCATGTCGTCTTACTCGGCGGCATGTTTGCATAAAATTAATTCTGCAAATTATCCGCCCAAGCCCGAAAAGCAAACAAAATGCAAGAAATCCCCCAGACAGACAGGAATTGTGGTTTCAATGGAGTCGTTTGCTTGGATGAATAAATTTATGCGTTATGGAAAATAGAGAAGCCAAAAAATAAACATTCAAATAATTGGAAAGGCTGCTTAAAAGAGTCTCGTTAAAAAATATGATGTAATAAATTAATTATTATAATGGAATTTTAAGGAAATGATTACTTAATAATTTACTTTTATTGATTTATTTTTGATTTATTGTGTTAGCTTTTAAAAGGTTTTCTTCTCTTCCCATTAAAAATTGCCAATTAATTATTACATAATTTCCTAACTACATTTTCCAGTTTAAAGTATAAAAAATGAACCAAAAATAAACCCTAAACATTTGCTTTTAATTTCAATTAGACCCAACCCATTTCCATATATAAAATTTCCCAATAATTTATGCACATTTCCCTCTGCGACAAGTTGTCTCAATCAAGTGCCTGTCCTGTCCTGTCCTGTCCCCTATTCTCACGCTTTTTAGACCAAATTTGAGTTTGCATTAATCACCTGTGGTGGACCCCGCTCTATCCCCCCGTCTCACCTGTAATCGGGCCGAATGTCAGCCTTAGTCACTCATTTTGGGACTTGTTTTCGCAACCGTTTTTTAGTCTCAAAGTCTTGGTGTGTGTGGAGCATGTCACGTCGTGGTCGGACGTGTTGGCTGCCAAATTAGCAGCAATTACATGTAATATCGGTTACACTTATTTGCATATTGATGCAATTCTCGATCTGGTCTCGTAATGGTGCTATAAATTTGCTTGGCACATGTCCCCACCAAGTCACCAAAGTCACCTGGCATTGGTTTCTGTTTTTCTGTTTTTGTTTTTCCCTCTTGACTTGATTTGTTTAGCTTGGGTGCTTAAGTTTTAAGTCTTATAAGTGGCACCTGCCATTCGGATTTCGTGTGCTTTTCTGTGTATTTTTTGACAATGTTTGCTCAACGTCTAGACGTGGTAATGTCTTTCGAATGGTCAGCGGCCACAACGGCGGCTTGTCGGAAAAATTTCAAAGTGCCATGGCAATAGAGAGAGACTTGTTGTTGACACCTGGCTAGCTCAGAAAAACAACAGTCGTGTCGAGCTTGGCTTATTTAATAATTATTTTAAATATATTTTTTATAGTTTTTATAGTATAAAATTGTTTTTAGAGACTTGGGTGGCTCAGGGGAATTTATTAGGAATTTAGGAAATTCTTAGTTTTGGGCTTTGGTTATTTTATAATTATTTTAAATAGTTTTTATAGTTTACAAATATTTTTAGAGACTTGGGTGGCTCAGGGGAATAATTATTAGGAATTTAGGAAATTCTTAGTATTTGTCTTTGGTTATTTTATAATTATTTTAAATTGCTGTTATGTTTAAATATCATTTTATGGCACTTGATTAGCTCACAGAAATATTTTTGTGATTTTTTAGAAATTAATAGAGTTCATTTTTTGTTATTGAATAATTTTTTTAAATAGTTTTAATGCTTGAGTATTATTTTCAAACAGCTCAAAGTAGTATTTTAATGGATTTTGAGGAATTTATGAAGTCAAATTAGTTTTAATTTTCAATTTATTTAAATAGTAATAATAAACTAAAAGAAAATAATTAAAAAAAATATTTATTTTAATTAAAAAGCTATTCAATGTTTAGCTTTAGTTATATTCCATTAATTTAACCTTTTTAATACTTAATTTATTTTTTATATAATTTAAAATCATTAAAAAACCTATATATTCCATTACAAACCACATTTCCCAGTTAAAACAATTTTAATCTCAAGCTCAAACAACTTTCATTTAAATTTAATCCACTTTAATCGCCTAAAAATCACCAAAACATTACCTGTAATTATGAATATTAACCTTTTATGATAGCTCTGAACCGTTTGATTCAATCTCAGCACCATTCCCATAAAAGCATTAAATTTTCGCAACTCAAGGCCTGAGCATTGGCTCCTTTAAAGCCATATTAAGTTGGCCAAAAAAACAAAAGTCAAGTTTAAAACGCTTAATGCATTTAAGACACAAAAAGGCGTGTTCAATTAGCATGCAAAAAACCCGATCAACTTTTATAGAAAAAAGTGTAACACAGCAAAAAAAAAAAGAAAAACAAAAAATTGAAAAGCTACGAGCTACAAGCGCAGAAAATTGAACATAACGCCGCGGCAAATGGCGACGATGGAAAATCATAGGAAAATGCAATGAAAAACCAACGGGGCTGGGTGAATTAGCGCAGAGCCAAGGCCCCCGAAGACAGCGTCGACTGCTTGTTCAATTTAATTGAATTGAGGAGAACAAAAACTACAACTGAAACTAAAACCGAAAAAAGAAGTAAAAACCCAACTGGCAGTTGTGGCTCGAGTTGAGTTAACATTATAATCGATCAAGGCAAAGCGAGGGGAAAACTCAGCGCATGCCGCAGTGCACTCAATCAAATCGGACAGACGGTTAATTGATACGCACAGATCGAATGTATATATAGAAATCGAGAGGTGAACACACGGAGTATATGGCCATTTAGGCCCCAGGTTCGTGCTGTTCAAACTGACCTAGAAAACTGCAAATATGTGTGTGGCTGAAATGGAAAAACTTGCCCCAGAAAAACGGTCAAAGAAAGCTCTGGCAACAACACCTGCCAATTTGTAGTTTTAGGCTTAAATCACACAAGTCACAGAGTTTTAGCTTTGCTAGATTTTTATCTTAACTCAAAGAATGGTGATATTCTTCACCTGTTCAATGCTGGATAATGCAATTCTGTTGTTTTTTTAAACGATTTTTTATCTTTACCTGTATATACATATATTATTAGTATTAGTTTTATCTCAGCGACACACGCAACTTTTAAAAAACTGATTTTTGCTTGGCTCAAGTTTGTGTCCTAAGTCATTCGTTTTGGCATTTGCCATTCTGTCGCTTGACATTTACTTTATAACTAATTTATGCTCGGCAGTCTATTAAAAGTTTCTGTTTATTAATTGGTACACATTTTTTCCATTTTTATCTCTTTGCAGAATTAAATCAGCGAATGCCAATGGTAAGTGTACAAATTGTTTTTATTCTTTATTGTTTGCTATTATTTAAATGAGAAGAATGATTTGTTGTGGGTGATTAAATGGGTATTAACAGGTTGTAGAGTTTAAATCTGGCAGTTAATTTATAGAGTTTATTGTTAAGGAGATTAAAATAATTATTTAAAAGGGAAGTAGTTAGCTAGAATTGTAATAGATGATTTATTTTGAAATTAAATGGTTAGAAAATGATTAAAGGAATTAAATTTATATTTAGGAAAGGGAAAATAAATTGTTTTTATAGTTTTGTAAATAGTTTTAGAAGAATATTCTTAGGAATAATTGAAATAACCTTCTTTTATAATTTTATAAATTTTTTTAGAACAAAATAAATGCTTGTTTATGAAATATTTTTAACTAAAAATTGTTTTTTTGGCTTTTAAAATTTATTTATTAAGAAAAAAGTCTAGAATTAGATAAAAACCTTTATAAATTATAATTTAAAAATCTAAATAATTTTGTTTTTAAACATTTAGTTTCAGTCATTGCCACAAAATCCACCTTTAGTTCTCACATTTTAATGAACACCTTTTTCCCAACGAAAGTCTTTTCGATTTTATCCCTTCAATATCTCATTTCCTCCTAAAAAAGCCTGATCACTTGCCCGTTTTTTTGCCTTGCCTGATTAATTAGCCAAGCCAACTCCCGGGTCAGGTTTTTTCTGCCCATCATCATCATCTTCGACGAGGGCTTTGCCTTCTCTTTGCATTTTCATTTCCATTTTTAATTGCATAATTCTGCCGTTGCATGCAATTCACAGAAATCTTTCGTTCCGGCTTGGTTGGCCCTTGAAAAGTGGCAACATTTTAATTTGTTTTGTTGTGTGGTAGAAGGAAGGCACAAAAACTAACAAAATGAAGACAAATTTTTGACGACAATGCATGAACTTCACGTTCGTGCCACAAATCTGAGATGCTGCCGGCTGTGGCTGCTCCTCCTTCTCCGGCAGTTGAAACCGAAACCAGGAGAGGGTTTATAGTATTTGCCCCCGGGGACTACGTGCTGGCTAAAAAACTTTCGAGTTAAAGAAAATTTGTAGACAAATTAAGGCAAAGGCAAACAATTGTCATGGTCGCAGAGACTTCGTCAAACACGTTTGAAAATCGTGCAAAAAAGTTGGGGATTGGGGTAAAAAAACTTTTTACTATTTTGATTTAGTTGCTCGAGTTTGCTATTCTGGGTAGTAGGCAAATTATTGACAAACGATCTTTCGATGATATACAGAGAGAAATTGAATTAGTTATTTATTAAGGTTACATTTTTTATAGAATATTTCGTAGAGAACATTTTTGTTTGGGAAACTTAAAATCGATGAAAGGCTAGAAGAATGTTACATATTTATTTATTATACAATATTTATAATAAACTTTATTATTTTTAAAATTTAAGAAAATATTTCATAACAGAAAAAATTTTTAGAGAACTCAAAATTTATTGGAGGCTAAGGGAATGCAACAAAATTATTTATTATATTATATATATTTTATTTAATTCCATAAAAATATTTGAATTTATTATTCTAATAAATTTTTTATATAAAAAAGCTTGAGCTAACAAAGAACCTTGATTTTGTTAAATTTAAAAAATGTATTCATGAAGCAAATAATTTTAAAAAACAATTTTTACAAAGAAAATATCAACCTACATTTTAATCTTTAACCAAAAACCCTTTCCTCTAAATAAACCCTCCCCCTAATGCCTCTCTTTTCGGTCAGTGTAACGACCCTTTCAGGTCAAAGTCCCGACCCACTCTCTCTCTTTCTCCCAAGGGCCTCTTGGCGCCAATTTCACTGGCCGTCGCCTCTCTGTGGGGCTGACAATCGACATGCAGGACAAATTGTTGACGGCATTTAATGTCACAGCAGCCAATTAGCTGTCCCCATGAAAATGCTCGTTTCTTGTTTTCCTTTTTATTTGTTTTGTACGAACTTTTTTTTCGGCAAAAGTTGTTTTTTTATGTTGCCCACTTGTTGTGTGTTTTTTTGGTGGTACGCACGGTTGCATGTTGTGCCAAAGGAGGAGGAGGAGGAGGAGGAGGAGGAGGAGGTGGAGGTGCAGGAGGAGGACAACAAAAAAGCACAGCCAGAGAAACAAACAATCGCCACAAATCGTTAAACTGTCAGCAGCTTTTAAAGCGCGTGATTATGTCCAAGTCAACGTCGGACTCGATGCCGAGAGTTGAGAGTTGAGAGACAAGCGCCAGTTGCCAAACTGTTTTTTCCAGCCTTTTTTTGGCCGAAAGAGAAAATTTTCAATTGCCCAAAAAAATGCACATTTAAGTGGTGTTTATATGTTGCAACATTTTTTTGCTGCAAAGGTGAAGCTGGGGGAAAAAAATGTGTTTGCATTTAAATGTGGGCCACAAATTAAAGAGATGCTTACTGATTTTTTTATGTAAAGCTTTTTTTGATAGAAACAATGGGAATTTTAATAAATGAAGAGTTTTTTATAAAAGTAATATGTTTTTTTATGCTGAAATCAAAGAATCCTTGTGGTTAAAAATGTATTTCATATTTAATAAAGGCTGAAATGGAATTGAAATGCTTTCTATTGTATTCTTTTTTATTTTTTATTAACTAAATAGTATTCTGAGTGTTGTAAAAAAATATTTAAATTTTTATAAATTGAAATGAAAAAGGTTTTTATTAATTTGTTATATTTTTTATAGAGCCTTTTTTTCTTTTTATAAGTATCTAAAGTCTTGAAATTCATATAAATGCGGAAAATTGTAGGTTGTCAATGATATATAATTAATAATTTTTGTTTTTATGATAAATAAAATCTATTTTAAGCAAATAAACCTCTTCAAAGTCATAATTATAAAAATTCCTAGCAAAATATACTTCCTCTAAATACATTTTCCATAGAAAAACCTATAGATATTCCCTCTCAAAAACCCCCCTAAAACCCCCCATCAGATATTCCCAAAAATTTACATAATTAACCCATAATCACCGCAAACAATCAACACAAAATGACAATTGCCAAATTCGTTGGTGTCAATTTCATACGAAATTCTTTTTTATTTTTTTTTGCAATTATCTCTTGAACGGCAGCCAACGTGTCGTATGCGTAACATGATTTTAATTATGCATACAAAGAACTCACGATAATCAAGCGAAAAATAAAAATAAATAAACAAAACGAAAAATGCTACTTGACATTTGTGTGCATTAAACGGGCAAGACACCGTACAGAGATTGGCATTATCTGGCCAACTATTAAGACTTCATTACACATGTCATATTTGCCATTTGCTCGAAGGGGGAAAAAATATAAATAAAAACTGAAGTGAGGCAAAAATAAAAATCTACAAAATATCAACAAAACACAAATTAAATTCCAAAGCCCAAGCTGCTCGTTAATTTTGACTTTATTTATTTTCTTTGCATTTTTCGTATGGACAAAAGTTGTCTTTGAAATATTTTGTTAACAACAATTTGCCGTTTGTCGTTTGCCGTTTGCCGTTTTGGCCGCTACTGCCACAGCCATGCAGCGGTGACGGCGATAAGCAGGCTAAGATAAGGCTATAAGCTACCAAGCTTTTATAATGCAGTTAAGAACAGTGGGTTAAAAATTTAAATTTTAATTCATTTTTGAGGGAAAACTATTCTTACAAGCTTAAAATCATGCAAAATATATTTTAAAAAATTTAATAAATATTTATTTCTTATATAAAAATACATCGAAATTATTTAGAGACTCTTAATTAATTTAAAAAATCATTTAAACATTAAATTTTCAATGGAGTTCTTGAAAAAATAAAACATACCCATAGATATTGAAGAATTAATTATTATAAGAACAAAAAAATATCAATGCCTTCGATAAAAATATACAGAAATTATTTAGAGACTTTCAATTAATTTAAAAAAATATTTAAACATTACATTTTTTACATTTTTCATGGAGTTCTTGATAAAAATAACACAAAACTAAAGATATTGAGGAATATTTAATAATGATAACAACAATATATTAATGTCTTCGATAAAAAAATATATAGAAATTATTTATGGACTTTAAATAAATATAAAAATAATTTAATCATGAAACCTTTTCAATTTTTTAATGGGATTCTTGATAAAAATCAAACAAAACTAAATAAATCAAAGAATATATCCTTATTAATATTCTAAAATATTCTCGCAACTTACCACTGTGTCTTAACTATTGAGAAACCCAGAAGAAATCCAGCATTGAAAAAAATACAAATAAAATCGTAAGTGCAATGCATTTGAAGTTACAGCTCAGAGCTCAGCTTGGCCGCGACTCGATTCAGCTGACTTAGCTGTGCAGTAGCCGCGGCAACATCGTTAACACGGCGCAAAAACAGCCATTAAAGCCAAGTTCCAGATGGAGCTCCAGCTCCTACTGCTGTGTGTGGAGTGGAGTGGGGTCTCTCCGGAGACTGGGGACTGGGTGTTTTGTGGCATTGGTGACATGCACAAAATGCATGTATATGAGCACCTACGTACGATAACTTCTCCGGTTCGGGGGTAATAATCGCCAGAGCTATAGCCATAGCCATAGCTGCTGGACATTCGCCTTGCGGAGTACGTAAATCATAAGCATAAAACGACTTTGACTACGACTCTTAAATCTTAAATGGTACACGGAAAGAAATTTAATAGTAGCATTAAATTCTTAGAAAAAACAAGAGGAAAAGGTAAAGGAAAAAATTAATTAGAATTTTTAAGGGGAAGAAATAGTTAACGTAGAACACAAATTGACTGAACTTCAGGTTATATTTTTACGGAATAAGTATCATAAATGAGAGTATTTTTATATTTTAAAATTGGAATAACTATTATTATTTATTAAATATATAATGAAATATGTTCTCTTGTTCTAGGAATTTAATTTAAAAATATTTCCTTACCTCTTTTATTTATATTTTCTTTAAACATTCATAAAACTCCCATAGATCAAACTTCTGGGATTTGGCTTAGTTTCCCTTAAATCTCACATAAACTAACAAAATTAATACACATTTTCTCTGTCTGTATGTGCAACTGCATTATGCATATACACACACACCGATATACATAACTTGGGAAACCATTGCAGCATCGTTGACTCTGTCGTTGCGTATGCAACCAAGCTAATTAGTTGAATCGCCCCAAGTGGCTCCTCCGAGTGGCTCCATCTTTTCCGCGTTAATGAGAGTGAAAGGCGAGTTTAAATAAATACCAGCAAATATATACACATAAAAATAAAAATAAAAAATAAAGTAAAATTCGCACAGAGTTTCGCCTCTAAGCAAATGAGTTGGCAGATGAGTTGGAAATCCGAACCCGTGGCTGAGAACAGGTCGACTCCGTTTACGGCCGGGCAGCAATTATTCCCATTGAGCATTTGCTGGCCTGACTGTCTATAAATTATGAGCTTAATGACGGAAGAGACTTTATGGAATCCCGGCTATTTGGATTTTGAGTGCCTCCGTTGAGTCACACACAACCCTCCTCCCAGGCCACTGTGCAAGATCACATGTGCTGATTGTGTGCTCTGGCCAGAAAGGAGCAGCTAGTCAGCCATTTGGCATTTTCGATGGCCACTCGCCGGCTGTGCAGTGGGTTCAGTGTGTGGTGGTTCGGTGGTGCTGCAGAGTGGTGCAGTTTGTTTGCCACCTCGCTGCCAGTTGACAGCCGTTTAATTTACGCTTTGTTTGTTTGTTTGTTTCTCTGTCTTTTGTTCGGTTTCGAGGAGGTGAATGTTTGATTTATCGCCCGATTATAAACCAAAATGTCATAGATTTTCTGCTGCGTTACGATTTCGGTTTCGTTGGATTTTTCATTTTGCACTCCCCCAAAAGAAAAAATACCAAGTCCCACGATTTACTCGCCTTTCAACAGGTGTCTTTAGACGGGGAAAAATGGGTTTAAGGTTGGTTATTATGTCATGTTTGTCATATTAGTAATTTAAAAATAAATATTAAATAAAATATTATGGAAGTTGTTAAAATATTCAACAAAATAGTACTTTTCCCAATTGAATAGGTTCAGAAAAGTTTTAAAAATAACAAAATATTTTTTTTAGACTTTTTTATATATTTAATTAATAAAAATAAAGGCAAAACTAGTCAAGAAATCTTTTTTAACATTTAAGAAAATACTTAGTAAAATTTAAAGAATTTTTTTAACATAAAAATAGAGGCCAAACATAGCTTTAAATTTGTTTAACGTTATTTCACCCATTAAATTTATTATACAAAATTTAAGAGTATATTTTATTGGTAACCTTATTAATTTACAACCTTAAATTCTTTTAAAATCTCTCTCGTAATCCGATTTTATTACCTGATTTATTTGCCGCTGCCAGCAACTGTAATTTTCCATTAAAAATGCATGTAGTTTTTGCAATTATCTCTCGAACAGCGGCCAACGTGTCGCATGAGTAACACGATTTTAATTAAGCAAACAGAAGATAATAACAAAAAAAAATATTATTACTTATTTGCAGGTGGTCGCCCGCAGCCTTGGTGGTGTCGCAATAATCGCAACGGTGGCCAGAACCGATCGCCCATCTCGATCAAGCACTCGGCGGACAGTATCCGGCGGCCCACAAGTAATTCCGGTGTCTGGACCTGGCTGGGTGGCAGTCGACGCTCCTCCGCTGGCCCAGATCAGATAGGACCGCCGTCCACATCGCCGGCGGAGAACCATTATACCCACATGGATGATGCCTACAGTCCGGTGGGTGTGAGCGAGGCGCTGTACGCGGAGCTGGACCGAGAGTCTGTGAGATCGGCGAATCCCTCGTATCAGAATACGGCCTACAGTCAGTGTGGCGAGGTGAGGGATAACTAAACTTTCTATATTTTTTTATATTTTAAATTTCCCTCTTTTTCCTTTCCAGAAATACAATTTCCAGGGCCACGAACAGGACATTCCCATGGTGGTCTCCTCAGCGCCGAGCAGTGCCTACTACTCGGACCTGTCGGTGACAGCCATGCCGGGTGGTGCCAGTGGCAGTAACCAGGGCGCCTACGAGATAGTTGGACTGAATGTTATGTCCCAGCCGCTGCCCAACTGGGATCATGTGGGTGGTGGCGGCGGTTCAGGTGGAGGTGTGGTTGCTGGAACTGGCCTCAATCCCAGCGAGGCGGCGGCCATGACGCAACGACGAGGACAACGACTGGCGGCCATCAACGAGACGAGCACCAGCACAGTGCCCTCGGACTATGTCTAAGCTTTTGAGGAAAGACAATTACGATATGGAAAATAATGTGAAATGTTTGGCGAGCTTAACATGTTAATAGGATATAGGATACGTTACATATATATGTATACCCCTAGGATGTAGGGTTAAATTTACACTTAGATTTAAAACGAGGTAGTAGTAAAGGTAATAACAATTAAGATGCGTAGCGCCAAACTCTCTTGAAATATTGTTGTGAGTGCTCTACGCATCTTAGTTATTTTATTATCCTTGCTATTACCTTTTAGAATTTAGCATGGACAACTCGTGTCTTTGGTTTATGTCTGAATTTAGAAATCCAATCGATATATAGGGATATATTTATACACACACACTTACAAAAAACAAGGCGAGAATTGTATTATATATGTCTAGTTTTTATATAGTCTCTAAGCAACGATTTAATCGTGGGTGATATTTAGCCTAAAAATATGCTATATTCTTATGTTCTATGTACTTTAAACATTTTCTGAAAATGTATAAAAACACCAACAAAACGCATTTTTCGTAGAATTAGACTATAAAAAGTGAGATGGTATTTCCCCCCAGGATCAGCAGTACACGAATATATATAGAAACGATATATATACATATATATATATACAATCATATTTATACACTCATATTTACAGCAGCAAAACGAACGCATTTACTAATATATCTCACCAATATGAACTATATATATCTATATCTTTAAACAATAACTGAGGCAAACATATTTACAACGATTTTAATGCAACCAGATTTCACGAATATTTACCGAGAATATAAACCGATATCGGGGGAAATGATATAGTGGCACTGTCATATCATTTACCAGCAACAACACCGTAATCATACGCATAGCTATCTATATACATATACCATTTACAATAAACAAAAAACAGACTCACGAGACCCTTAGCAGATGTATTTTAGTTTTTAGTCGCTATTAATTAATTTAATTTAATGAGACACACACAACCACACACACAAGATTCCTGTACATTTTTGTTTTAGTTGAAAATATAATTAAACAATTTATTGCTATTTACATTCTGAATCCCAAAAAGGTAAATGTTTATTGTCGCTTTTCATGGTTTGGAAGACATGCGTACATTGGTTTGTATGTAAATTCAGCTTAAAAAATCATTTAGTCTTAGTGTATATTATTGGAGATTTAAAGTTTAACTTAGAAATTAAATAAAAACAATAACAAAGTAACTAAATAACCAGAAAAATAAATAAATAAAACTTAATAAAATATCAAAATAGCTTGCAAAATTAAATAAAATATAACAAAATAACTAAATAGCTTTCAAAGTAATAAATAAGACATTACAAACTAAGTAACTTTAAAAATTAAATAAAATCTAACAAAATAAAACAAACAATCCCAAAAAATATATAAATAAAACTTGCCATAATAACTAAATTATTTTAAAAAATGTATCAAATTCAACAAAAATAACTAAATCACTTTAAAAATTAAATAAAAGCTAGATAAATTATTAATTTATTAATTAAAATTTATAAAATAAATAAATAAATCGGTATGAAACTAAAATATCACTTTTAAAGGTAAAGTTAAACTCAAAAATAACAAAAAACCCAAACAAAAAGTAGATCCCGGAGCCACGCACAGTCTCTAGACATCTTTATATTGTCGGATAACCCAAGCTGGTCACTTGGAGTATAGTATAAGCCGGCTGTAGTTGAGCCACTATTACAGGAGTACCCACATCAATTTGAGGAATGGAGTGAGTCACCAATGATGATTCGCCGCCAGAAGTCGATGCTTCTCCTCCATCTGTAACCGCTTTCCTTTCGTGAATCAAACGATGAGTCCGCAGGGCAGCCGGCTGTATGAACTTCTTGCCGCACTCCTGGCACTCAAAGTTCTTCTCGCCCGTGTGGGTCATCTCGTGATACTTTCGGGTATTCGAACTGGCAAACGATTTCTCACAGTAGCTGCAGGCATAATGCTTGTTCTTCTCGTGAATGGTGCTCACATGCTTCTTGAGGGCTGTGGAGCTGTTGCAGACCTTCGAGCAAAATTTGCACGGCCAGCTACGTTCCAGGGTATGGAAGTTGATGTGCAGACGTAGCTCATTCTTGGTGGTCTTTCGTAGGCCACAATAGGGGCAGCTGTAGTTCTTGATACCCTGATGCCGCATCATATGAATGCGGAGCTTCTCCTGGCTAATGAACCTTAGTGAGCAGTCGGGCATCTCGCAGGCGAAGGGCAGTTTCATTTGGTCGCTGTGCGTGTACCGATGGTGGGTCAAGGCGGCCAGATTTTTGAAGACTCGGCCGCAGAACTCGCACATGTGGGTCTTTGAGGGCTCTCCAAGACCGTGGGCCTTGCTCTGGTGATGCTTGAGGGAAGCCTTGTGTCGGTACATCTTGTGGCAGCCCTCCTCTCCGCAAATGAAACGTGTGCCCTCTGCCGCATGCTGCAGTTCGTGTTGCCTGCACTGCTCGTAGCGATTGAAAGACTCCTGGCAGCCTGGTTCCGAGCAGTGATAGAGACTGTGACCATCGTGCTCTTTTGTGTGGTTGATGAAGCTTTTGTAGTCTTCGAATTCCTTTGAACACATTTCGCACATGTAGCGGAGTTCGGGTGTCGAGGTGACAGTTGCAGTTTCCTGAAATGTAGAGAGGGAAATTAGGGATATATTGTGTTGGTTTTAATATTTTAAAGTATTTTGCTAACCTTTTCTTTGGCTTTCTTTGCTGGTTTCTTGGGCGAAGACTTTCTTTGAACTTTTCTTTTCATTTTTGGCGGTGATTCCTTAGGACTTAGGTTGCCATCGCAAAGAATCAGCTCGGTTGCTTGAAGAGATGGTGGCTCCTGGTCTTCCAGGGCTTGTTCTTCCTGGTTGTGTTCCTCCTGTTCTTTTAGCATCTCCTTTTCTATTTGTTCCTCTAGTTCTCTCTGTATTTCTTTCAACTGCAGTTCTTCCAGTTCCTGATCTTCCATTTCCTGTTCTTCTTCTATTACCTGTTCTTCTCCCATTTCCGGTTCTTCCTCCATTTCCTGTTCTTCCTCCATTTCCGGTTCCTCTTCCATTTCCTGTTCTTCTTCCATTTCCTGTTCTTCTTCCATTTCCGGTTCTTCTTCCATTTCCTGTTCTGTCTCTTCCTGATCCTCTTCCAAGTACAGAGGCTCCTCCCGAGTTATTTTCCTTCGCCCCACCCTTCTTTTCACCCGCCATTTCCGGTCGGCAGTGATGCACTGGGCCCGGAAGCCGTGGTACTGCTCCAACTGCTCGTAGCACTGGCAACAAATCTCGCTGGAAATGATATGGACATCCGCAGGATCCACCACCAAGCCCGTGCAATCCGAGAACTTGACGGCTAGCTGCTCCAGCTGCAGCAGGTTGTAGGCCTCGTCATCCCGGGCAACCGGCGTAAAGCAGACGCGGCACTTGTCCAGGTGTCCCATTTCATTTAAATTTAAATGAAATAACAGTTTTGCGTCTGCTTCTTCTTATTTGTTTTTGTGTACAATGGGGGTGGGAAAAAATCAATTTTTTCCACGGTACTATCGCTTCTTGTGGTTGCGGTCAATAATCGATGTATCGTTAACGAGCAAGTGGTGGCACAAGCGATATATCGGTTAGAAGAAGTCCTAGAGATGTGCAGTGGTAATTTGGAATTTTTTATTAATTTGGATTTTAAATGAACATTATTAGTTAATTAGTTAAATTCTTAAAAATATATATTATCATTACTAAAATTTTTGCAAATTAAGAAAATATATGTTTTTAATTCAATATACTTATATGGGTTCAGGCCCCACAAGGAATTGAAATTATAAATTATTTTATTAATTATTATTGTAATTATGGAATTTTAAACATCTGGAATTATTTGCCATACGTTTTTGCAATATTTTCGATTTTTTCGTTGGTCAGAGAATAACCTAAAAAAACCTATTCTGCCGCGTCCAACGAAAAAAAAAAATACAAAAATTAAAAATCTAAATCTAAATGAATTATTCTTAAGCGACATTAAAATCTTAATATGTATAAAATATTATTTTAAAACGCCTTAAAAATAGTATATAGTATAAAAAGGATTTCATTATTAAAATTGTTTAAAATTAACAAAAACATGATAATATTTTTAAAAATAACTAAATTTGCTGTTTTCATAATCTTATTAATACAAGAAAACAAAAAATTACCAATTAAAATGTATGTAAATATACATATTTCTAATTCCCGGAGTAAACTATCGTTCCTATTTTCTTTTTTTTTCAAATTTATGTGTCAATCATTCATTTATCCTTAAATAAAATCGAACTCTTCTCGTCGTATATTAATTTTACTATTATCCTCAGTTAATTTTAAAATAAATAAAGTTATTTTACAATTTAAAATTTTATTATATTCGATATATTCTGCGTGACTCCCTCGTGACCCATCTCTAACCCCGCTTTTCAACTCACATCTCTAAAAGTGGGTGGCTATCAGAGTTCTGCTGCGACGTTTTGTTTTTCTTATCTTTTCGCTTAAAAACAATGGATAATTCAAATGGAATCCATTATATAGAGCTATCCCCCAATCCCATAAGATTCGATGCCGTGAGCCAGCTAACCAATGTCTTTTTCGATGATTCCAACAAGCAGGCAAGCCGGAAAACAACTTAAAAAACCAATCAATGAATCCACTTAAAGGCCTTTTCCCCTTCAAGATCTTTGCAGTTCGCTCAGGAGGAGCCACTGGGGTGGTGGTCAAGGGCCCCGGCCCCACCGAGGACACCGTCATCTCATTTTGCATGAACGACCGCGGAGGCGACATCCGTTCCATCAAGTTCTCGCCGGACAACCAAATCCTGGCCGTGCAACGCAAGGAAAATGCTGTAGAGTTTATTTGCTTCCACGGAGATCAACCGCTGCTGCAGGACATCATTACCCATCAGGTGAAGACCACCATACATGGTTTTGTGTGGGTACACAACCGGGAGGTGGCTCTTATCTCGAACACAGGCGTGGAGGTGTACACTGTGGTGGCGGAGAAGCGACAGGTGCGCTCGGTCAAGTCCCTGAGCATCAGCATCAAGTGGTTTGCCTGGTGCTGTGATGCCAATGTGGCGCTGCTTTGCACCAGCGAGGGCAACTCTTTGATTCCAGTGCTGGTCAAGCAGAAGGTCATCACCAAGCTGCCTAAAGTAGACTGTGAGTTTGAATTGGGGTGCTTTTGAGCCTTGTTATTAGTGTTTGTGTTTCTAGTGGGCTCCCCCAGTCGCGATGTCCAGGAGAGCAAGGTGACTTTGGGCCAGGTTTATGGCATTCTGGCTGTGCTTATCCTGCAGCAAAACACTAGCTCGGGGCAAATGGAAGTCGAAGTGCATCTACTAAATGGCCCAGGATTGGCTCCTCGCAAATGCCACATTCTACGCTTAAGTCTGGTGGGGAGATTTGCCATAAATACAGTGGACAACCTGATTGTGGTGCATCACCAGGCCACTGGGACCTCTCTGCTGTTTGATATATCTCTGCCTGGGGAGGTTATAAATGATGTAACCCATCATGCGCCCATAACACCAGGTCGTTCCATTAAACCTTTTGGCTTGAAGTTGCCTTCCTTGTCGCCTGATGGTCAAATTTTGCAGTGCGAGTTGTGTGAGTAAAGGTTTAGAAAAACTATCCCAAAACCCTCTAGTAAACCCCCTTCTAATCCTCTGCAGACTCTACCCACTGGGTTTTGTTTCAACCCAACATAGTCATCGATGCCAAGCTGGGCTGCATGTGGTACTTGAACCTTTGCATTGAGCCTCTTTGTAACCTAATTTCCGATCGCATTCGCCTCACCGAATTCCTGCTGCAGCGCAGCTATGGCAAGCAGGCCTTGCTAAGGGTTGTGGCTCAGCTGGTGGATGATCAATACAAGGGCTCTATGCTGCCCGTGCTGGAGACCATCTTTAGCAAGATTAACAAGATATATGCGTAAGTAAGGAGTAGCACATGACCTTCTCCTCTTTAACTCTGTTTATCTCTAGATCTTGGGTGCAATTGGAGCTGCAAAATCAAACTGCTCAGCCTTCAAATGTCAAGACTTCCTCGCTGAAGCAGTCTAGTCCTCCCATTGTGCTCATTGAGCAGCTGGACATGGTTCAGATTTTCCAGCGCATCGCCAGAAGATCCTATACAGAATCCATTCTCATGCTTTATCTGCAATCTCTGAACAAGTTCAACATTGCCGCCCAAGAGGAGCTAAGCAAAATGATTGTCAGCGAGCTGATAAACAATCGTAGCTTTGATACACTCAGGCGCTTGGTCAGCTATTCAATGTTGATGGAGTCCAAGGCAGTGGCCTGCTTTTTGCTGGCCCATTCGGATGTGGACACTGCTATATCCCAGGTGGCTATTGATATGCTGGGCAGGATTCAGGCGCATGAGGTGGGTGTTTATATATAAATTTATATTTTTTTATATTTTTTATATATTTTTCACATTCTTTTTATATTTTTAGATCATCATTGAAGTCATGCTGGGTCAGGGCAAGGTTATAGATGCTCTACGCCTGGCCAAAAACTCTCTGGGCCTGGACAAAGTCCCTGCCCGCAAGTTCCTGGAGGCCGCCCATAAAACCAAGGATGATTTGATTTTTCACAGCGTTTTTCGTTTCTTTCAAATGAGAAATTTGAAACTTTATGAGACTCTATCTTTTCCCAAGGGTAGGTTTTATATATTTTATATTTATTTCACAATTTCTAAATTATTAAATATTTTATTTAACAGCCGAACAATGCACGGAGTTTATTCAACATTATAACAACACCTTTCCCGCTGATAACTCCATAAAACCAGCTGTGAGCTAAGGCTGGGTTGCTAATTTCTATTAGAGAAAGTGTTTTTGAAAAGTATTTATACTTTAATTTTTATTGTAAATATTTTATTTTATAAAGAAAATAATAAATAATATTGTTTAATGTTTTTAGAGGGTTAATTCTTTTAAAAATCAAAATTTAAATAAGAATTTAAGAAAATTTTGATACTGCCGATAAGAAATATAAACGATTCTATAATCGATTAATTGTAGGGACCGTAAATAATAATTTAAATTATTTACGTTTTCGATTTAAATCGATTTACTTGTACAAGTTTTTAGAAATTCAATTCACAAAAAATCGATTTATTTCCAGATCTACAGTCGGTATATGAATGTTATCTAAAAGTTAACGACATTTTCGATAAAAAAGTTTAATTTTTTTAAATTTAAGTTTTAAATTTTACTTTCTCCCTCTATATACCCCCCTTGTCCTCACTTGTACCTCTCATAAATACCTTAATAATCTAAACAATAAGCTTTTACTACCCACAAAAACTCGTCATTTATCATGCAATTGCTTTACTTACACACATACAATACAATACACAGAGTTGTACAATAAATACACTGAGGAATAATAATGGAATATACAAGAAAATAAGAAGCAAACTAACAGAATCGCCTGGGCGGAGCCTTCAGCTGCAAAGCACCCATCTCCAAGGACTTGGAAATGCTAATCAGGCTCTTGTTTGGACGCGGCAAGGCCAAAGTTTGCTCCTGCATCGCCGTAAAGCAGCGTGGACACTCCTCAAGCGTCGTTTCCGCATCCTCCAGGCACTCCTCGTGCAGGCCATGCCCACAGCCGCCTAGAATGAGCACCTGACTCTGCTCATAGAGCCGCTGTCGACACACCGAGCACTTGGTGGTGGTCACCCAAAGGCCACGCCGCGCCTGCTGATGATGCTTCCGAAACTCCAGGTGAAGACCCTGGCACTGTATGTCGGCACTGCCTCTCAGGGCCTCCGTTTGCTGCCTGGAACTATCCAGCATGCCCATGAGCAGGTCCTTGATGTCGCCAAAGCTGCTGGACACATTGTGGGTGTTCATGATCAGCTGGACCAGGTTGTGCAGGTCAATGTGGTGCGAGGCCTCGTGCAGCAGGGACTTGCTGATCGATTGGAACTCCTGCTTGGGCAGGACATATTGCAGAAGGACAAACCAGCAGCGTTCTAGCTCGGCAGCGGGCAAAACATGCACAGATCTTGCCAGCAGAGCAGGCAACACCCTGGCCTCCTCCACAGCTTCCTCACCAGTGGCCGCCTTGAGTAGATCCATGGACAACTCAAAGGCTTTCGTGTAGCTCTCCTGCATCTCGTACAGATAGATCACAGCTCTGTCCAGGTGATGGCTTTCAACTATGGCAATCGCTTGATCCAGGTTATCCATAAGCAAGCGTATGTTGCAGCACAGGAACTCCATGACCACATCCTGTGTCTCCAACTTGCAATGCAGTTCTAGCAGTAGCTCCAGCTGGCTGGCTTCTAGCTTGGCTCGGCGTTCGTTGAGGCACTTGAGGAACACATACAGTAGACTCTCCTCCGTCTTGAGGCTGTCTAAGAGTTCGGAAATCTTTTGGGGATAGTGCAGGGCCAATAGCCGTGTGGTCTCCTTGTCATTGATGGCCAAGAGCTGCCTGAGATGAAGCTTCAGCTGCTCGTAAATGCATCTCTCTGGGTTGTCCACAAAACGTTCCATGTAGGCAAACATGGTCTCGTGACGGGCCTCGTTGCGTATGTAGCAATCCAGGATGGTGTCGTAGCGTTCTAGCTTCTCCAGGAGATACTCCACCACGCAGTAGCATCTGGCTTTCTCAGCTAGCAGAAGCTGCTCTTCATCGCTGCTGATCTCGGCCAGGCAATTGGAGGAGAGCAGCTCATGCCAGGCATTCTCACGTTCCGAATGCTGGCGGCTGCTCTCGTTGGCAATCTCTTCCTGAGCCAGGTGGCTGAGAACGCGCTCTAGGAGTTGTTTATCTCGGGGCAGGCACTGCATGGATATCTGCTGGGCTATAAAGTTCAACAGGCAGCCAATCTCCGCCCACTGAAAGGGGGGAAAAATGTTAAATTTTAGAGATTCAAAAGAAAGATAAAAGCTCTACTCACCGTGGCATTTTCGGGCGTCATAATCTCCAGCAGCAAATTGATGATTCTCTTGCGATGCGACAGGCCCAGCTCATTGCTAAACTCCTTCTCCTGGAAGGCCAGTGAAATCACATTCAGCGTTTCCCTTGTATCAAACTTCAGGAGAGCTCTCAGATAAGGATAAGGCAGCTCATCCCCTCCAGCTGTCTCCTTGGACTGTTGGGAAGTCAAACATCTCAAAACATCGTGCTTAACCTGGTGAACCTGCTCCACGGGAATCTCTCCACTGGGATAACCCCTGCCCGCCAGGCAGCTGGACACATAGACCAGCAGGCAATTGCCCAAATCCGTCTCCTCGGGGGTTACCAGAGGCAGCAGCTCCGTCAGCGCCGCCGTATAATCCTTGAGAGCCTGGGTATTGAGGTAGATTTGGGCTCGGTACAAGCGATGCTTCTTTACAGCCTTCAAAACCTGATTTAAATCCAGACACATCCAGTCCAGCTTGAGGATGATCTGCTCTAGTTTGGCCGGCGAGTGCTCCAGCCAATAGTCCACCAAGGCCTGGGAGATCAAGGGATTCACGCTCCTTATGGTCTCGCGTTCAATGTGCTCGGAAATGTGCTGCAGGAACAGCTCGGAGCTCGAGTGATGCAGCTTCTCCCAGAGCTGTGACCACAAAAGGTCCAGTTCGCCCACGGTGATGAGGCAGTTGACTATGGAACCGAGACAGTAGTCGGGAGCCCGAGCAGAGTTGGCTATGTACTCCTGGAACAGGGTAATAATGCGCTCCTTGGCCTGAGAACGCTTACGAGGACGATCCACGGAGGCCAAGTAGCCATCAAGGGCCAACTGACAAGCCTCCTGCCAGCGATGGTGCTTGACCTGCAAGAAAAATATAGTAAAAAGATTGTTTCCCTTTGATTTTAAGTTACTTTCTCACCAGATAACTAATCCTCTCCGACCACGTCCTCACCCCTATGATATGCAAGGATCTGGCACCCAAAACATACAGCTGAGTGCCCCTGGACACCACCGAGTTGTAGCAGGCATTGGACCCGGCCAAGGCAAAGGCAGGCGACACATTGCCACCAGTGGCCAGACCCTTAAACTGCGCCGAGCCATAAACCAACCCAGCATTGGCCATATCCATGCACTCCAGCTCCTTGCTCGATCGCACGTCCACTAGATGCAGTACCTCCGAGGTGTCCAGCGAGGCCACGCACTTGGGACCCAGCCAGTGGCCAGACAAAAGGTTGCCCTGCAGCTGGACATGTCGCAAATACAGCAAAGTGATCCTTCCATTCGAGACGAAAAGTTGATGGAAGAACAGCTGGTTACCTCGGCCGACCACGATTACAGGATCCACCGAGCGCGTGGTGTCCGCCGCCTGGATCAAGACCAAGTGCCAGGCCAGCAGGGGCAGGCAATCCGGTGGTCCTTGCAAAGCATGGTACTTGATAACCCTCAATCTGGGTCTCACCGTGACGATAAAGTACTTGGACAGAGTGGCCAAAGCCACGATGCAGTACTGATCCAGTTCATGTCTCCCATTAGCATCCATTATCAGAGGCTCCACGGCGCAGACCTCTCCCCGGGCACCGGAAAACAGGCAACGCGAGCTGCAGCCACGAATGCCCAGCTTCCGGGTGAAACTCAGCGACCAGACAGAGCCACCGGCATCGGCACAGAGAGCCAGCGAGGAGCGCGAGGTCCACTTCACATGCAGCACGCCCGTATTTGGTGTAATCACATCAAACAGCTCCCGTAGGACATCGCCCGTGTGCGTGTCCAGCATGGTGACCAATCCCCTCGAGAAACCAGCCAAAAGCCGCGTGGAATCCGCATTGAAGGCCATGCTGGCCACCGCACCCTGGCCGTGCTTGTCCTGGTGGGCCCAGCGCAGCGTTTGGGTGACATCAAAGTTGAGGATGTGGCCATGGGAGGTGCCCACGGCTATAAAGGCAGCCACGGCGCAGGAACTCGCCGCCCCCGCATTCACACGCTCCGCTGCGGAGGCCAGCTGGGCGGAGATGCCATGGAGCAGGGTGTACCGCATGATGGAGCCACCACCGCCGCGTCCATCTGTCCTAATCGTGGCATCGTCGCCAATGGAGGGTGTGGGCGTGGCATGGTGGACCGGCATTCCCAGCTCGGAGGCCACATCCGAGTCGGCCTCGAATTCGCTGAGCACCGACTCCAAAGTGGGCAGGACATCGGTGGGCGGTATGGCAAACTCGGCATCGTCCAGCTGGGGGCGTAAAAATGGTTATTAAATCGTTAAAACAGCGTTTTCCGGCTTGACGCACATCCTCAAAGTCCAGCTGCAGGGATTCGGCCAGCAGGCTGTCCGTGGAGCCGCGCTCCGACTCCAGCAGCGATTGCAGCGACGGCGCCTTCAGCCCCGACATGCTCCGCGTTTTCTTGGTCCTTGGCCCGCCCCCCGCACTAGGAAAATTGGAGTTAATTTGTTTTTATCAATGAATTTCTACGCCCATTAAAGACCAGTGTTGGAGAGCGCTTGAAATGTGTCGGTGAATCTGGCAGCACTGTTAGCTGGGACTCAAAAGTCCGGCAGCGCTGCGGTCCCAGCTACCAGAGTTGCCAGACTTTTGAGTCCCAGCTACCAGTGCTACCAGACTTTTGAGTCCCAGCTAACAGTGCTGCCAGATTCACCGACACATTTCAAGCGCTCTCCAACACTGGGTAGCTCGGACCGCAGCGTTGCCAGACTTTTGAGTACCAGATACTCCCGCTAACCGTGCTGCCAGACTTTTCGGTCCCAGTGACCAAAAGTACCAGACTGTTTTTTTACGCGCCGATTATCGATTGTCGATGAAAACCGAATAGTGTGCAGGAAAGAACAAGAAAAATCCCAAACTTTTGGATGGATTTTTTAGGGTGAAATCTAAACCTGACTAACATCCCACATTTGACACCGTTGTTCTGTAAACGTGTAAAATTTGTTTATACTAATTATAAATAGAAATCAAAAAAAAAAATGTAAAAAATTAAAGAAAATTAAGGTTGATTTTTCAAAATTAAATTAATTGTTTTTTGATTAAAATTAAAATTTTTTTTGATTTACGCGCCAGTTATCGATTGCCGATAAAAATTAAAAGTGCATGATAGGACAGGAAAAATCTTGAATTTGTGACGGAGTTTTTTAGGGTAACATTTACACCTAACAACACAACACTAGCACCAAAACAATCACACAAAACAAAGACAATATAGTCACAATTTTTTTTATTTTCAACGCGTTCGGTCCTCTCCTCCGCGTCGGTGCGCGGCGAAAATTATTAAAATGCTGTGATTAAACAATTCAACGGAGAGCAGCAACAATTCGCGGGCGAGACGGGGGACACGCAGATAATCGCCATTATCGCCCGAAAAGAAGCCAGAGTTCAGGGCAAAAACAAAAGGCAAACGCGAGTGGAAATTTCGATTTTCGTATTGTTTAGTGTCGGGCTGCGGCGCCCTTAGTGCCAAAAACAGAAACCATTGCGAAACGGCATTAGTTATTGTTTAATAAGCGCCCCGTGTTTTGGGCCAGAGCGAGACGAATAAATAAATTATTTGTTTATTTGCGGCTTGCCAAATTGGTGCTCTCTCTCGCTCTTCTGCCTCTCGCGTTACGCGCCTTCATTCAGTCGCGTGGGTGTTTGTGTGTGTGTGTGACAGTGACGTAAACAAATGCATAAAAGCGAATGAGTGCAAGAATTTGAAAAATGCCATTGTCGATTCACGTGCCAAATAGCTGCAACAACAACAACAAGCAGAAGCAGCAGTGAAAGCGCAACAAACAACAACAAATTGACACAAACGCGTCGTTCCGTTCTTTGGCCCTCTGTTTTGTGCCTCACATTCGTTGCATTTGCGAAGCTCAGCTGTGCAATTCTGCACTGGTGTTGGTGAGCGCAACACGTTTGTGTGCGAGAGAGAAGGAGAGCGCGGCGCTCTGCCGGCGTAGACGTCGCGTTGCTGCCGACGCAGGCAGCGTGCGTCACCGATGCGACAGGTAAGAGGAAGGAGCGATTTGCCCAATTTTCCCTAAAATTAACATAGTTAATTACTTGTCGGAGGTGGCCCTGTATAGATAAATATGAACTTGTCAATTAGCAGAAAGGCGGCACCTTTGCAGGTAATTTTCCAGCACACACACATGCACGCAAATATGCAGCCTCGTTTACGTTTTCGAGATAAGGAAACGAAAACGAGTTGGAATCACGTTAATGACGCTTGTGGAGCATTCTTGCACAAGCGGCGGCTCCTCTTTCGCTCCCTCTTCCACTCTGGTTCTCTCTCTCTTCGTCTCTATCTCTGTTTGTGGCCACTTACCCCGTTCATCAGGCCTTGCGTTCCACACACTTGTCGATCGGATCGGAAATCGCTGGACGACACATTTCCAGTCCCCGTCGCGCTAGTTTTTCCACATTTGTCCAAAGGGGGGATAATTGGGGAAAGGGAATGGGTTACCTGAAATTCTCAGGGGATTTGATTTCATATTTTTTAGGGGATATTTACATTTTTAGATATAGATACTTTTGTTCTGAGGTTTTTTGTTCTCAGAATATGGGAAGATATTTGAAAGAAAATTGTTTTTAATTTATGATTTATGATATATTTCTCCGTAAGTTACTTTTTGAACATCCCTACAACTTTACTATACAGATTCTTTTATTTTTTATTTTATTAAGAAATACAATGGAAACATCCTTCTTTAATTAATGTATTTTAAACGATCTAAAAATTAATTTTCTTATCTTCACTATTGAATTAACTGGACTTTGTTTATCAGTTAAGACGAATAAGAATCTTTAATGTTCATTACGGTAATTAGCCTTCCTAAATTTAAAGTGGACGTTGGAAATACTCTTCTAAAAAATTCCATTAAGAATTTTCGATAATACATTTTTAAACAAATATATTTAAGGTACATTTTAGATGCCACAAATAATCTTTCAGTGATTCAGACATTTTAATATTATTTATTTCTGACCTTTAACTTTGCCATCAGGTAAATATTTTGATTATATTTAAGAATGTCTGAATGTCTAGAGATTTTTATGCCAAATTTTAAATTCGAAATGACGACAGTATATAAAATGTGATAATGAAAATTTAATCTCATTTCCAAAGCTATTTAAAAATCTATTTGATTTATATTTCCTGTTAATTTTGTAATGAAAAATATGAATATGGAATAAATAATAAAATATTATATTTTATTATAAAAGCTTCAAAATATTATAATTTGATCAATATTCGTTCCTCTCTTTCTAAAGGTTTTTAAAATATAATAATTTAAACAATACAAATTCTTTTTCCTTACAAAAACATTTACTAGAAAATAAATATACAAACCGAAACCCAAATTAAAAGCTTACTCCATAAACCTCGACCAAGATTTTCAAAACGTGCCCAAATTTCGCATATTTCTTGGGAATCGGGCATTTGTTGTTGATCCGTCCAGTCAGTCCCCCGGTCAAGACCCAATAATAAGATTTCCTGCTAGAGCATTCCTTATACGAGGGGCCTGCCTGCCTCCCCTGCCACTACCACTGCTTCCCCTAATCGTCGTTCTTGTTTATTATTGTTGACCATGCGCTTTTTGTTCCTTTATTTTTTTACTCGGTCTCGCCTTTTATTTTCTTCTCACTGTGCTCTGTGTGTGTGTTTTCTGGTCGTTCATGGTCACAAAATTTATTGGTCAACATTTTATCTTGGCCCCAGCACCCACGTAGACTCCTTTTCCAGCAACTTGCAACTTGTTTGCGTCGCCTCTACCTTGGTCTTTGGTCTTCTTGGCCAGTTCCCAGTCTCTCTCGCCACCGGCTCGCCCACATGGAAATTTAACGCTTCAACACGCTCCGATTTTCCCCCCCAAAAACGTAAAGTAAAAAAGAATCCCCGCAAAAGAAAAGTATAATTCTCTCGAGAGCAAAGCTTGCACAGCGTTCAAAACAAATATTTTCGAGATAAGTTATGGGCATATTTCGTTGGTTCCGTTTCCCCTCCGCCCCCATCCGTAGGCAACTTTAATGGGAAATATCTTAATTTTTATAAACTTGGCCCCGTGCACATAAATTATCGGTGAGCGGAATTCTTCTCGCGGCTTTCATAGTTCCTCTTGTGTTTTTTTTTTTTGTTTCTCGGATTTTTCTCGCATGGTTTTTTGTTTGTCTTGGGCATACTTTTCGTGACTTTCCGCTTTTGTTTATCTTGCTGATTGTTTATCTTGATGCCTCTCAGATATTTTCGGGTGCTTACAGCACATATAGAGCAGCAGGGCCCCGTATTCAGGGAGCATCCAGCAAATTGGCAATTGCTGCGGAATGGCTCCCAACTTGTGCAGCTGCCGGGTGCATAACTCAGCAGAGGCCCTTCAGGCATTAACCCTTTGTTGCCCACATGATAAACGATAGCTTGTTAATAAATCACAAGCCAAAGCGAATGAGTGAGTTTGTGTGTGCGTTTGTTGGTCTTGTGTATGTCCTGGGTGGGCAGGACATGCTGAAAAAGTAGTAACAAGGTTGTCTGGGTTTTTTTGTGCACAAGAAAAAAATAGTATAAAGTAAATTTTTGTTTTTATGATATAACTGTTGACTATTAGACTGTTGGACTATTTTTTTTAGGAAATCTTAAATCTTAAATCTTTAATTTCTGTAAAATTTTATTAACTAAAAATATATTTAGTTATTTTAGGTTGGAATATATATTGAAAAATTCATTTTCCTTCTTTTTAAATTCCCTTTTTACAATTATTTAACTCAGTGTAGTCCTGGTGCCACAACTCCTGGCTGTATGCAACATGATTGGCTCCGTGCACTCAGCACAGGATACTCGTATTTCATATGCCTTTGCTAGATTTATGAAGTGCCTTGGCCGTCCTGAGTCCTGGGCCCGAGTCCTTAGCCAAGTCCTTTGCCTCGGCTGCCTTTGGCATTCTAATAATTTTTTATTGTTGTCGTTTAAGTGGCCCATTGTACAGCTGGCAACATATTGTGTGTGCTCCTAGCTGCAACATCGTCCTGCCACTTGATAACAGAAGGTGCTTTCCATTCGTTTCCCATGCCTCATCTTTTTTCCATCCATCCGTCCAAACCAGCAGTTGTCCAATTCTGCATTCTTCAAGTGGACTCTCTGAGGGAAGATTTTTATAATTAGACATTGTGATTAGTTGTGACGGCGAAACCGGAAGAACAGCTTTTGGGGCAACGTCTCGACTCGAGCGAGAGATTATTATCAATAATTTTTGTTAATTAAACACGGGTGAGGAATGTGTCTGTCAAGATGATTTCAGATTTCACATTTTAGTAGAATTTTTATACAATTATTCTGAAAAACAAGTATTTCCACATGTTTGTTTTGATTTTGTCAAGGTTTTACGAAGATTATTATTTTAAAAATTATATTTTAAAGAGATTTTGGGCACTTGCAAATGTTAACCTTTTTAAAATTCCTAAAAAAAAAAATTTCCCTCGTAAACTTAAGCCGGAAACCATTTATTGTGAAAACATTTGGAGTC